CGACGCCGACGGCGACGCCGCTCAAGCCGGAAACGGGCCCCTAAGAGCTGCGCTCTAAAATGTGAGGGACAGAAGTTCCAGGTGATTAGTCTAGCGGAGTCGCACAAACATACACCACAGAATTGTGACAAAAAAAAATGGCAATTATACTTTTACTTGTATTATATCATGTAGGGTCCGTAGTTTTTTCGTTTAAACCGATAAAAACCGATAAAAGTACGCCAAATCCACTTTCGGAAATTCGGTTTCAACCGAAAAAGGTCAGTTTGTAGGTTCGGCGTTTTCGGTTTAAACCGATAAAAACCGATGAAAGTACGTCTAATCCGTTTTCTAAAATTCGGTTTTAACCGAAAAAACCCAGTTTTTTTTAGGGCCGCGTTGGGGTGGGTGGGGGAGGGAGAGAGAGGGGGGGGCTTTGCAAGGTTCCACATTGTGTGACGTCTTCGTGATTGCCCTCTTCCAAAATTCAACATGCAACCAAAGAGGTCTTGAATTGGCCTTCGCGGGACATCCGTGTCCTTTCTGTGATCGGGCTTAGTGTGTCAAATTTCCTGTCCTAAAAATAAAGTTCGGATGTGGGCTAGGATAAGGTTTTTCGCTTCACGCACTTCAGAGGACATCGAGGAAAACCGCTAATACCTTTCTTAACACCCTCTCTCAAACTTCCCTGTGGTTAAAAACATGAATACACTGGATGGAAGGGAAAAGAAGCACGCTGAAGATATTGCCCGCGAATTACGAAATTCTGAAGTGTGTCCTGACGGAAGTTGTAGCGAAGACCACGTATGTATATGTGTCGTTATTCTTTGAGTGATCACAAATATCACAGCTACAAGGATCGTCTGACCCGGTGTCCGATGGTGTTATTTCAGATTAACCGAAAAAAAAACGGTGAACTTTTTTGAGAATAAATATACACCGAAAAAAAAAAAACGAGAATTGAATTTTAAAATAAACACCGAAAAAAGTACGCCAAATTTTGAAAAATAAAAACCAAGAACGCGAAACCCTAAGTACCGTATTTTCCGGGCTATGGTCCGCGGACTATACATGTTTAAAAGTTGAAATTTCTGGCTGTGCGTACTATCTACGCGTGCGGACTATACAGGAATTATGTTTTTCAAGATCGTTTATTATGACGAGACGTGACGAATTTTGTGCACGAAAGAGTATGTTAATGATGATTTATGCACATTATAGGCTTTATTGTGAGCTAAAAAGCAGACATTTGTAAACGTGTGCCGTCTATGAGAAGATTTTCGTGTCGACTAAGCACCAGGTGCGGACTATGCACCGGGTGCGGGCTGTCTAAGCAAAATCTTTTATTTTTGACCCCAAATTTCCAAAATCTCTCAAAACATTTTGAGAGATTTTTTGGTAATAGATTAAAAACGTGTGGGACGTAGAACAAACACATACTTTTTGCCATATTGTGTGTAGCAGTTCGGTACGAGATAGATTATAATAATGATAGTCCTAATAATAATAATAATAATAATTTTATTCCACATATCTTCAATAGCACTGTACAAAGAAGGGTTTGTCTAAGCCAAGGGAGGCAATTGTGGAACAGGACCCGGCAAGTCGGACAGCGAAAGCTCTCAAAACAATAATAATAGTAATAATTTTATTTCACGTCTTCATTGCAATATACAAGAGAACGGGTACGTCAAAAGCAAATAATGGCTTGTGGGACTGGACCCGGCAGTGGCGTAGAAAAGACCAAAACTATTCACATAAAAAAATATCGATTATTTGAAATACAAAAAAAAGGAGAAACAAAGTCTGAAAGAATAAGAATACAAATCAAGAAAACCGTACACCAAGTAGGATCTCTTACAAACACAAAGTCAATATAACGGTAACACTGAAATAACAACGGGGTGTGTTCAGATAATATCATGCACGCGTGTCCGGCCAGCATTTTTGTTTTTCTTCGCATTGTCCTATGTTACTCCCCAATGTGTGGAGAGAACGGAGTCGCAAATGGTTTTGCGAGAAAAAAATTATTTCTCGAGAAAACAAAAAAGGGACTACATCAAGGTGGCAAACCCGTTATTGCGTTTTGTCATTTCTGCCAGGTTTGACGGCACGTAATAGACAAAACAACAAACAAAATATAACTCAAAAATGTTTTACAAATAGTACTCTATAATGGCAATACATAAAACGATTTATATAGTTCTGGAAAATATGTATTGTGTGTAAAAAATGCACAAACATGGCTACTTTGACGTTTTTACCTTTAGTTTGTGATTTGTTATCTCGTAGACGTTTTAAGATATATCGTTTAAATTGTTTTCACAGGTTCTTCACATAAGGGCCTATCGTCTATACATAATGTGTCGGTCTGACTTATAAAAAAAAAAATTTACCATGCTCTAAACATGGCTGAAAATGAGAAGTCCCGCAACTTCAACTTGCAATTAAAAAATAAAATCTTCAATTTTTTTTAATTTTTGGTGAAGCATTTTACGCTATATTGTTCTGCTTTCCCATTAAAACATATTGCATTATTTTGTTTCTGTCAGAAATAAAACACTCTCAAATGCAGGAATTTGGCTACTTTGACATTTTTAACTAATATTGGTTCGCTGTTATCTCGTAAGATCTTGTAGCTTTGCTTTTTTTTTTTTTTTTTTTTACTCATATATTTTTCTTAAAGGATCTATCATAGATGTTTATTTTGTTGTTCTCGTTTATGATTCAAAATATTTACAGCGCTTCAAACCTGTTTGCAAATTCAACGTGCAACTAAAAAAAAAAAAGCTGATTGTTTAAGTGCTGCACCACATGCTGTGCTTTTCATTAAAATGTGTGTTGCTTTATTTTGTCCCGATCAAAAACAGCGTTTCGAATTGTACTGTGTACCCTCCAGATAAACATTTTTGTTGATAACTGCCTCGGCCTCAATTACTCCTACGTTCTATAAAAGAAACTTATCATACTTTTATACTTTGTTTAATTTGTGGCCAAGTTCAAGTTTGAGATATATAGCTCTTTAAACACATCTCTTAAGCAGTAGTTCGAAGCTTTAACTGCATCCTTCCTGTGACGAGCCATCCCTCGTGCTTATTTCAAATGTCGCAGCTTGGTATATGCGTGAACTGAAACACAGCTTCCCAGGAACAAAGAAACGCGACAGCCCGGCTTGCGCTCTCGAGGTACGAACCGAACACACCTTATTGGAACCAAAATTTAATACTTCACTCGCTGACAAATGCACAATACTAAACGCGGTCGGCACTCAGCATGTTCAAGCAATAATTATAAAGAAATTGCCGTTGTATTGAGTGCTGTACGGTCCGAGGAAAAGTCAGTTTCAAGTTCAGTCCTGTTGTGCATGTCAATTTTACTTGAAACACAAATTACGAGCACAAAACCTCGGTTGGCCGTCGAGGCAGGAACCTGACTTAAGACTTCGGTTGGCTCATGCATTTACAGTGGCGTGCCAACTTGTTCTTGAGTACGGGGGCAAACCACACCCGGCAAGTCCTGCCCCCCACCCCCCCCCCCCCCCCCACCCCAGCGCCGGGGGGGGGGGGGGGGGGGGGGGCAGTACACTTGGTATCCCTTGGGCGCCGCCGGCCAGTGTTTGCCCTGCCCAGTGGCGGCTGTTTCGGGGGGGGGGGGGGGGGAGGGAAAACACATGCCTTGCCCCCCCCCACTTGGAGAACTGAGGGGGGAGGGGGGGGGGGGCGACCGCCCCCCTTGCCCCCTGCTTGGTACGCCCATGTGCATTTATAACACTTCACTCCCGTAAAAAAAAAAAAAACACGTTTTCACTATGTGATGGGGAATATAAAAAGTGGTTGTCATCGCGCTCTCAGCGCTGCGAGAGACAATCAGTTCCAAGTTCAGCTCCACTGTGCGACTTTGCCATACATGCCACTTTTGCATTCCAGCGACAGGGAGCACGTTCATCCATTCCTCCTTTCCGGCTTCGAAACTCCATTAGTTGGCCTGGTAAATCAGCTGGACTCCTTGGAGCCGCTGAGACAGTACACTTGACATGTCTTGGGCGTTTTGCATTGCTATGCTTGCTGGCTGTCACAGGCTGTGTAGTGTTTTACAAGTCCTCCAACGCCATCGCACGCGTTTTTGCCGAGTCCTGTCGCAGAAAATAGCTCTCTGGCTAGAGAATATTTCAGATTGTTGACTCAGAATGTTTAGCACTGTATATCGCAAAATCGAAATACCTCGAGAGAAGAGCAGGAGGAGGCGGAAAGGAGGGAAGGGGGAGGAGCAGGGGACAAGGGGAGAAGCGCGGGAGGAGAGGAGGAGGAGGAGAGTGTACGGATGAGGAGGAGGGGCATACCCTTCCCTCAGTACCCTCCCCTCCTCCTCAAGAGCTGCGCTCTAATTCGGCATTACAGAGAGTTGTAAACGGCTTTCATTTTTATAGCGGACTTATAAGAAAATATTTGTGCCTTGACGGTATGTAAGACAAAATAATCCTCGATGTGAATGCAAACAGATTGGTTCCAAATATGTTAAAACGTCATAAGAGCACAGCTAAGTTTTCAGAGGAAATGAATGAACGACGACAGGTCAATATTTCTGGCTCATGCAGCACTCGAGGAATACGGATGGGAGCCCGCAGCCATGCGCGGGCCGCGTCCCCGCGTGTTTGAGACCCCTGCAATATCTCTCAAATATCCACTTGAATATAATATAACTTGAAGAAACAGTTTTCAAGGAAACAAACTTGGGGGACGGTTAAGCTTCGCCTTTAAGAGTGGCACGAATGCGATAGCGTGTCACGTGACGTCACATGACGTCACATGTGACGGCATGTTATGTGACACATTACGTCACACGCGGCTTTGACGTCATGACCCTGTCGACCCGTTAAATTTGGCGGGAAACTTTTCCGCTAATACACGATACACGGCCGGAATAAGGACGCTAAACAGACCAGTCGAAGACGCGTTGCAGTCACCATATAGTACATACCCCAAGTCGAACTGCGGGAATCTCCGGTGTCGCCATCTCTGCAGGTGCTGAACCGGCGGGGCATGTGCCAGGGCATCCTGTACCTGTCGTCGGCGTTCAGCTTCTGGTCCGTCTGGCTCACGGTGACGTTCACAGCAGAGCGCTGCTTCGCCGTCCAGTGCCCGCTGTGGCGTCTTCAGCTGGGCACCCGCGGACGCGCTAGGGTCACGGTAGGGGTCACTGTGCTCGCTTCGCTCGTCTTCAACGCCTACCTCCTGGTGCTCACCGACGTCATCGTCGAAGAGGGCGGTACTCCCGAATGCGAGGCCCGGCCAGAGTTTGAACAGTGAGTGAATGCAATTCATGATCGATCCATATATGTAGTGCCGCGCCCACATTGCCCGTACATTTATTTATTCGTATGATTAGTTAACCTAAAACAACCTATGGGCATTAGGTAAATGAAAGCACATATTCGAAAGATCATTATGGTCAAGTGGAAAAAATAACAAAATTATATTGTTAACATAAACAAATCTATACAAACTGTAGACAAACAAGCAAAATAAAAACAAAAAAAAAACATTTGAGGGACGCATGCAAAACAGAACTTGATATATTGTTATATACATTATTTAGAGTATTATTGAACATCTCGGGCGAAGTGATCACAAGGCCTTTATTTTTGTTTTGTTTTGTTTTCTGGGCAGGTTGTTTCATTCGTAAATGGCAAGAACAAGATGAGAGTTTTTAATCAAGTTAGAACGTCAAAGATGGGTGACAGTTTACAGTGATGATAAACGCGATACGAAATACGAGGAGCCGGCTGGATGAATGAGGTCCTAATGAGACATGATATATCTTGCGAAGAAATCTCATGCGAGATTCGTGTCTTCTGCACTGCTTCATACGAAATAAGACATGGTGTTTACTGTAGCTCAAGCATGAATAAGCATTTTTGAGGCGCTCTCGTAGGCAGAACGAGGAAGCGGTCTCACGTCATACCATGGGGCGGTTTGTGCAGGTAGCATTCTGTGGTCTCAGGTCTTTGCCAGCGTTATCAGTGTTGCGCAATTACCTCTTAGGTGCGAAATAAAATGGAGCGAAAGAGTCAAGGACAAGAGAGTAGACAGGATAGTCGCAAACTTTCAACTAGAGTTATTCACAAAAAGACAGGCATGCATAGGCACTCCATGGCAGCATAACTTAGCCAAACACACACAAAAAAAAAAAAAAATGTGTCCTGGCTTCGCTGTGCTGCCGTTCGCGACTACCACAAAACGGACGACACCTGGTGGGAAAACAGTGAACTGGCCAGAACATGGTCCTTTCGCTAATTCTGCTCGTCTCGTGTGGCTTCCGTGGTCGCGTATTGTGTAGGCGGTGGGCGCGATGGCCACTGAAGTCAAGCGATGGTTGCGTTCAAACTTCACAGCAACGCAAACAGGAGCCACGAGAGGGCCGCTGGGAAAACCGTGACTCTTAACGGCCCATCGAATCGGGTGCACCTCGCACGACTTTTCATGCAGTGAATATGGCGAACAGTTTTCCCAGACGAGACTGTCGTGTCTGCCGTATCAGCGTGTTGCATAGGTCGCTCTAAACGCAACCTACGTCACCGCGCAAGCCGGTCCTCGAGGGCGATTCACACACACGAACTTCCGTCGAGTCCGACCGATTGCGAGGGTTGCTATGGCAACAATTGCGTTGGCTCGAGACAAAGGCTGCTAGCTTTAGGTCTACCCACTAATCCGTCCAATCAGAGTTCGGCGTTCTCTGACGTCACCCTACGCTTTCCTCTCTCCCCTCTCTCAGTTTCTTCCCCGACGAACGCTACGCTTATTTTGAAAGCTCGCTTCCGTCAACGCGCTGCCGCAGGTTTTCAGCGCAGTAAACTCAAATTCAAACTCTTTTTTTTTCCTCAACATTTCAATAAAACTGCACAAAAACTGTTTGGGCCCATTAAACAAAAAAAAAATCGTGGCAAAAAAAAAAAACTCCAGCGTTTTGTTGAGCTGTCGCATAGCAGGGCACGTCCTGTTTACAAGCGCCACATATGTCGAGAGCGGCGTATCCTATAAGTCGCTGGAGTCGCAAATAGAGTAACTATATATATATATATATATAAACTACATCAAATAGCACCTGTCCTCGTCTAGTTCGCGTTTTTCTTGTATTTAAATAGGTTAGCAACGTGCTTTCCTAGTCGAGACTATGTTCCTTGCAGCTAAAAGAAATCGATGGAGTGTATTATGTTAGAGTCGTTGTTGTTGTTGTTTCCCCATGACAAAATGCAATTCAAGCCGCCGTTTTCGGATCGGCTTCCACAAAGGAACCTAGACGCTGCAAAAGCGGAAGCAAAATACATACAATATCCATCTATTTTGTTTCCCCGTTCAGCCTGCACGCTATACATAGTCGCTGCTGCGGGGATGTACTCTGAGCATGTTTTGGACACGATAAGTGCATCAGCCATCGGCGTATTTATTTATTTATTTATTTATTTATTTATTTATTTATTTATTTAATTTACCTCAAAGCGCCCTTTTGGGCATTGTATGAGGGGGCCCGGGAGTACAAGCTTTTCGACAAAAATATTGAAACGATACATATCGTACATATTTGCTTGATAAACAAGAAACAACGCAATACACCCACTCGAAAGGAATACACTCTTACACAAACAGAAACAACGTGCCAACTAGGCTACAAAAAGAGAGAGAAAAGACTATCTTTGCACAGGAAAAACAAGAAAGACACCATCCAGCGATTCATTCCATGGAAAAGTGAAACAAACGTTCACATGATGATTTGAATTCATTGATGCATGCTGGGCTTGAACACAAGCCCAGCTTGCATCGAAAACAGGAAGCTGAAAGGCGCCAATTACCGGAAATAAGCGAAAACGAGCCCCATTCTCACATTGGAATTTTAAGAAAATCACGTAACTTTTGAATAAGACAACGGCTATTTTTGACATTTCGGCGCCTGGTTCGGATCACGTAGCACTACATGTGAGCAGAGAATGAGCGTTCGGAGATGAGTAGCTTATTTTTGCGGTAAAAAAAAACAAAAAAACACTATTTTTATTTTTTAAGAGGAGAGGGGAGGAGGACACGGCTGTATAGACCAACACGCGGCCCTTACGTCACTCCTCTGCGGTGGCGCTGTCGACGGCACTGCGCATGCGCAGTTTTACTTCACGCGAATCCTGTTTCTGCGCACGCGCAGTGCCCACACATGGTGTGGGCAAACGCAGGCTTGTTTGTAAACAGCGTGTCGGTCTATAGTCGTCGTTCAAAGCCGCACCATCTGTCAGATAAAACAATAGTAATCCCCGGAGACAAGGAACAAGGCGGACAAAGGACAAACACAAATCTCCAAAAACAACTAGGTGTCTGGTGCGCGACTGAAAAAAATCCGTCTGGTACTGGTATCGAACCAGGGACCTCTCCATTTCTTATGTAGCGCACTATAGATACCTAGCTGTGTTTGGAGATTTGTGTTCGTACTTTGTCCCGCTCGTTCCCTTTTTCCAGGGATTATTATTGTTATTCTTGTCCAGCTCGCCTGCCCCTTTGCACTAATTGCATCATCATCCTTCAAATGTAGGCCGTTCACCCTTGTTGGCATTAGGCTGGTGGCAGCTGTTAAAACTCGTTTGCTCTGCTGACGTCTAACTCCCGGTTAGCTCAGTTGGTAGAGCGCTCCGCTGGAATGGGAGAAGTCCCCGGATTCGATACCAAGACCAGGCGGATTTTTTCAGTCGCGCATCAGACATCTACAGCTGTGTTTGGAGATTTGTGTTTGTCCTTTGTCCCCCTTGTTCCCCTGCTCCAGAGATTATTATCGTCATTCTTTTTCAACTCGCTTGCACCATCTGCTAAGCTTTCGGGGCCCGGACCTAGTCAAGCCAACAAAGATTAGCTTTTTTGTCCGTGTCTCCGGCACCTGCACTTGCAGATGCAAATAAATTATTTAAATTTGAATTGGAATTGCATTATCGTCTGCCACGTGACAACACTTCAACCGCCATTTTTTTTTTTTTTTTTTTTTGAAGGAGCGAAAGTTTGCAGGCGAGCTGGTTAGGAAACATGACGATTGAGAAGTTTTGTGCCATCTTGTCCGTTATTTTATTTCTACTTGTCTCAGGGTTGAGATAATAATGTTTTCCACTCGGATGTTGGCGCGTTTCCCCCAGGATTCTGTACTACACCAACATCATGGACACGGTGGTAACGCTGATCGTGCCCTTCATCCTCATCGTCATCATGAACTTCATGATCGGCCGGGCCCTGTACCTCTTCACGTCTAGGCGTCGGCTCCAACGGCTGAACAGTTCCCAGCTGGACACCACAGGGATGGACGTCGGTAAGAAAAAAAAAATATATATCAAACGAAGCAAAAATTTACTTTAGCTTGGTCATCCTGCACAAAAACCGGGGGACACAGAATGTGTTGAACCAATCACCTATAGAAGATAATCAAGAATCGAGAATAAGTTTTATTTTGTGCCCAGCAACGACCATGTCGGTCTTGATACTGGCACACCCAAACAAAGAAACAAAAAAGAAAACACGCTACACACTACATTTAAAATGATCACACAAAAATTGAAGCAACGCCAGGACTGAAAACCAGCTTTACAAAGACATCGCCTGCAGTATAACAAGGTGCAAGTTGAACAGTCAGCCTGGTAAGCTGAGAGGTGAGAACACCCCGTCATTCAGCACAACAAAAATGAACATCGAGAACGAGACAATGAACAAAACATACTTATTTGTGCCCATATAGCAAACGAAAGAGATTTTAAAAAGCTTTCTTTATATCCACCAAAAAGAGCCAGGTCACTGGCATGACTATTGTATGTGCTCGTCACACGAGAGAGTGGAACATGATTCCCTGAGTTGCGGTGTACAAAGGCACCGGCGATCGCGTCGCCTTGTGTGGGACGATATGTTTCTTAGCAAATCAGGACAGACACTATACACTGTGGACTGTTTTTAAAACGAACAACAAATCTACTTTTTCTCGGCGCTCAGCTAAGCTAGTAATCTGTAGTAAAGTGATAAGCTGGGCGAGTTGGTAAACGTTATTTCCATGCCATTAGTGGGAGTTTCTTGTGCCAAATCGATAGACTAAAATCTTTAGGGTTCCCGAATCAGGTCTTAATGTAAGTTCATTCCTTACCTTCCTGGGAAGGAAGGTAAAAAGGGGTGAAAAACTAGGCGCCCTGTTGACAAACAACTGGTGGTAGTTATACCATACCTACAACAAAATATCGCATAATCTAAAACAAGTGGCGAGCAGGTATGGTTTTCCCGTAGTTATACTATCAGCCCCTAAAATAATACGACAAATTTGTTTGAAGGTTCCCGCCAAAGCGGAGTGTAAAAAAACACTTGCCACAAAAAACATGCGCAATCTTTGTTTGAACTGTGTGTTAATGACTGGCTGTGAGAGCAGAATCTTTCTTTAATATCAACTGTGGGAGGTCACCTTTCGGTGCATTGTTAGATCTTTACGTGTTCACCATCTCTAAAAAAAAAAAAAAAAACTCAATCATTGGGCGCTTCAAAGGAAAACAAACACGCAAGGTGCTCGAGGCGTTTACCATCTTGGGTTTGGCTGATCGCTGCGTCAGTCAGCCGTCAGTGGCTTTGAGCGAAAAAGAAGTTACCTTTTTGCGATGATTTTACTATGACTGACCTGTATTCACCCTGGTGCCTGTGTCCCCCTCTCATGAATGAATCTTGCTTCATCTTTCCTCTCTTCACTTAACACCAGAGTTGTGAGTACGTGCCTGTCTGTGTTCTTTCCGGTTTTGTCCTCGTGTATTTGCGCGCGATTTTTTTATCGTGTTTCAGGTGGATAAATCTAGGTCACTCATTAAAGACCTTTTACGCACAGGTGATGGCCCATTACGAGAAGAACGGTATCTATAGATTGATATAAATTTATTCTGAACTCGCTCTAGCTTTAAAATGTACTAAAGATGCCGTTCCACACTATGGCCGCATACTCGAGTCGAGTTAGAGTTAGAGCGCAGTATAAAATAGGCCTTAGGATTCGCAAACTTTCTCGTCATTCTACAGGCTAATCCGAGAGTACGAAACACGGACATCATTACTTCGTGAGCGTTAAAACGGTAAGAGGTGTCAAACGTCACTCCCAGATCGAGGGTCTTTCTAACGCGACACCTCAAAATGAATCTGATAGGAAAACAATATGCTATGCGTTTTTCGCGTATAAGTCATTACCTTTGTTTTAGCTTTGTTTTTTAGAACATTATTGGTTAAACACCAGTTACTGTGTTCGTACACATCCGCCTGAAGCATCGCGCAATCCCCGTCACTGCGGACCTCACGAAATATCTTGATATCATCCGGATACTGCAGAACCCGACAATTAATTACGACATCCGACACATGGAGAAAAGAAGAGGCACTGACCCCCAGCAACCCGAACATGACGTCATGTATGTCCGTGAACGTTTTTCGTTCACACGAACAAGACATTTCCTGCGTAAAATATAATTTTCCAGCCAGTGGACACTCTACCCAGATAGTTTTGATAACAAAACGTTGTTGTCTACGACATTAAAAGCCTTGCTGAGATCAAAGTATACAACATCCACCTGTCCTCTATTACACACCGCCCTCGAAACAAAATTCATAAAAGAGACAAAATGTGTCCTAGACGAGAGATCCCGATATGAACCTGTGTTGGTGTGAAACGATTATATTTTTGAAAGACGGGGAAAGGGTTTTGTGAACTACCATTTCAAATAGCTTAGAGAACGTGCAGAGTAAAGAAACGGGTTGGTAATTTGACATGTCTTCTCTATTTCCTTTCCTGGCTTATGCACTGGAATCACAACTGCCACCTTCCACGTATCAGGAAACACGCCTAATCGTAACTAGTTGTTAAAAATTGACGAAAGCACGGGGGTAAGGAACTCGTGATAAGCCTTGACGAGAACCCCAAGAATTCCATTATGACCAGAGGACAAAGTCAGCCCCACCCTTCTTAAGGCCTGTCCAAACAGCTCCAAGCAGCACGAATTTTGGCCGAGCAATGGCCAATGGCTGGCGATGGTCTTTTGGCCAGTGGCCAAAGAGTGGCCATTCATCGGCCAATGTTTGGCCGATGGCTGATGACCAGTGGACATTGGCCACTGGCCAGAGAAAGGCCAGTCATCGGCCAATCTCTGGGCACTGTCTGGCCGCTGGCCAAAGGACCATTGCCAGCCATTGGCCAATGATTGGCCATCTCTGTGCTGCTTGGGAGGCTACTACAAAAATCGTCAGGCCACACCACTCCTGCAAAAATTGTTAAAATTGAAGCGTCCGGTAGTCGTCGGCCGAATGTCTGTTTGCACACCGGCCGAGCCAAATTCACGACTTTCCTCCTTGCCTCCTCCACTTTTCTTTGACGTCGGTGCTCGTTAGACTTGACGTCACACGCCACCTTCCAATGGTGTGCCTGATGCCTGTCTATCTCCCGCGGCTCACGAGGTCGCCGACCTTGCTACCGCCGTCACCTCGGTAGAAAGGCCAAAGAGGTCCGGCTTCGGGTGGATTTGGGAGATTCCTGAGTCGAAGCGCGCGTTTCGGCCGCCCCGGTTCAGCTTTCTTTGCGAGAATTCACGTTCGTAGCTGGAAAAAAAAAAAGAGCAGTGCGCAACAGGCAACAGTGAGACTTCTAGCTGTATGTAGAAACACTGATAACTTAAGAATATGACATTTGTTTTATTAAACTCCAAACCAACCAAGTTTTGAAACAAGAGCCGCGGGAATTGGCCCTTTCACACTCTTGCAGCCGAGTACGACCGAGAGAGACCAGACCGGTTTTTAAGCCTTTTGCGACGTCTTAAGACCAGCTCCGCTGCAGCGCATCCGGTCCTAACACGTCGCAAGAGGCTTAAAAACCGGTCTGGTCTCTCTCGGTCGTACTCGGTTGTAAATGTGTGAACGGCGCTTCGAGTCTTCCCTTTCCCGTTTTCGGGACTTCCAAAGCGGCGAAGGCCTTCAGCGATTGACCGACATCCAGCAGAGCGTGTGAAAGGCACTCCGGACCCACGTGATGAGCAGAGCAAGGCCGCCGTGGAGGTTGGGGGGGGGGGGGGGGGGGGGGGGGGGGGTAGATTTGACGGGGGGTAGTTTCCTCCCGGCAGATTTGACAGGGAGAAATTTCCCCCCGGCAGCCGGAAGCGGAGCGGAGTCATGCGTTTTGTAGTATCCTGTTTGGACATCCCTTTACACACTCGTCAAGCTCGTCATCAATGACACGTGAGGATAGGTGCTCCCTGTTCCCTACTAAAGGTAAACGGGAGTTGTCCATTGTGCTTAGACGACAGACGGTTTTGAAATGTTTAGCGAATGAATTACATGCATCGGACGTGGCATTGCCGTCCTCGTCCATAAGTACAATATCTGCCCGAGACCGTTTTCCCGAGTGACTGCTCACGTGCTTCCATAGTTTCCTGGGATTTCGCTTCAGATCGTGGATTCTACAGATGCAACATATTGGGCGTAATCATCTGTGTACTGCGTTTTGGACAAACGCCGGTGGTGCTTAAATTCTAAATCCCACTTCCTCAAACCTGCTTTTTTTTATGTTTCGCATGTGCGAAAGATTTTCGCTTCAGCGAACTTTTTAGCTGGGGACAAAACCAAAAGGGATTTTCAGGGTACCATACTTTTTGGAAGGAACGAACTTGTTCATGCCCTTCTGTACAGCGTTAGTCAAGCGAAGTACCTGCTCAATCACGTCAGTTGCCGCAATAATAGAAGACCAATCAAAAACTAAAAAAGAATTATACAATCATGCGTAATCACCTACGCCAATGTTAAACGCTTTTTGTATTTGGGTCTGGTTGGCATTTGAAGTCCGCCTCAGGACAAGCGGAAAAGGTATAGGTACCTCGAAGGCAGGGTGAAATTTATCAATGGGCACCATAGCGAATAATAATAATAATAATTTATTCGCAAATGCCACTAGTTCGATCCAAGTGTATTATATAATAATAAAAATAACAGTTATTACTATTATTAGTATTATTTTTTGTTAAAGTCTCTTTATGCAGATTGAATGCAAAGATGATACAAAGCCGGCTCGCCAAAGCCAGCAGGGGCTTGTGGGACTGAATAAGGGTAGCACTAATGACAGAATAGTCTCAGAAAAAAAAATAGCGTAAGTTGTCAAGTAAAAAAACAACCTGCAAGTGACACAAAGATCACACAAAAACCTACAACTTTTGTCAACCATAGGTGTAAAACATTAAAAAAAAATAATTAAGATGCATAGCAGCACCGACAGTTCAATTAGCGTCAAAAGAAATAATAAAATGACTCAGAAGAAAAATAGAAGTGTAACTAACCTAGGATGAAACTGTCCCTTCGTAAACGTCATCACGATATTCCATTCACCCCTATAAGCTAGCTTTTAGACTGCTGTGGAAGCTATACGTTCTCGCCGCACCAATCAACCCTTTTTTGGTCCCAGCTCCCTGCGCCAGGAGATGGGCGAGAGCGCGATATCACGTGGCAAAGGATCCGCGTATGATTGAACTAAACGAGTCCGTAGCTTTCCACCGCAGCCTTAGCTCAGGGGTGAACGGAGTACGGTATCGATCCACGCAGCCCTCCATCGTCAACATCGCCGCCAGCGCGTCGTCTCAGAACTAGTTCGACGATAGCACGCGGCTCCGCCAAAGACGGAGATTCCCAAGGATCTTATCATCGTGCCGCAGCCACTCAGATGGCGGCATTAAACCAGTATATATCGTTTTCTGACTTTATAAACCAACCGTTAGCCCTCCCCACGCGCACCTGCTCCGCTTATATCACACTAACTGCATGGCGGAAAATCACGTGCATCCCAAGCTTATTTCTCCGTGGGGTCTTGTATTCGTGTTTCAACGCACCAATACATTGCTAACTTACCCAAGCATCGAGGAGAATGCTGGGAATGTAGGCACACGCGACACACGCGCTCACCTTCCCCGTAGAAACGATTCGGACAAAATAACCAAGATGAGGCATTGACGAACGCGTGGGCTGCGAGATGACATTTGTTTTAGGCTTTTTGTTTGGAACAGTTACTACTGCAGACGCCAGCACGTGCAGCGCGCGTGTAACTATACACTCGCAGCATGCTCCTTGGTGGAGTATTTTAGCAAAAGGTGTATTGTGACTCCCAGGAGCCTACGGGGGTATTCGCTGGACGTCATATTTGAGGGCGATGTTTAAAGCGCGTGCTCAGAACAAAGCTCACATTAATAACATGCTAAGACCCACAATCTTGACGATGCGGAATGCACGTTGCAAAAGAACTGCGGAAGCTTGCCGTCAGCACGCGTTCAGCAGCCGCGCAGACAGATGTGGCCGCCAGTGATTACTCTCTCTCTATGCTCAATATGGCACAAGTGAACCTCACTCTGAAAATGAATCGGAAAAATCGGCGCCTACGCATGGAAAGTTCGAACTTTCTCCGATAAATTATAGCAAAAACTTGCCAAACTCAACATTGATTTGGGCTCGTGACTCAAACCAATTTCGGCTCGGGATGACGATCAATGCCTCCACATGCATTCCGGTACTGACTAGTGCTGAATCGCTAACCCATCGCGTGCCCTAGACCTTGGCAACCCCAGCGCGTGGCTATGATAAAAATCTGGCGGCATATATTCGGTTTCAGATCATGTTGCCGCTTGATATGCGTACTACTACAGTGTAGTACTACAGTGCCACGTCATTGTCTTCTCCGTCCTCGTTTGTTCGGCGCTTCCGTCCAACGACGTACCAACTAGCCCATCTTTCAATGTTAATAGACCGATCTCACCGCCGATTGTCATGCTTCAAATGCGAGCTGAACAAGAATAGCGATAACAATCCCTGGAGAAGGGGGACAAAGGACAAACAGAAATCTCCGTACACGACTAGCTAGGTGACTGGTGCGCGACTGACAAAATCCGCCTGGTCTTGGTATCGAAACAGGGACCTCTCTATCTGCACCATTCACCTAGCTGTGTTTGGAGATTTGGGTTTCCTCCTTTGTCCCCCCTTCTTCCTTTTCCAGGGATTATCATCGTCAATAAAAGGAGTTAGCAAACAAAAAAATGATAATAAATAAATAACTGAAACAAGATTAAGTGTGTACACACACCGCTCTGTGTGTGTACTCCTTGTTTTCTGTTTCTTTTTTTTCCGCTGTTTTATTTACTTTAATATGTTAAACCAACTAGCCCAACCCCGTGCTCTGTTGCTGAAAAATCAGCTTGACGAGCCCCCTCCTCCACAGAATTTTTTTTTAATTAAAGATTATGAAGACAGTCAGTTACGAACGACAAGTTTGGTGGTGTGTAAAAAAACACCGAGGAAGCTTGGAGTCATCCCGTTCTTGAACCGCCACCGTTGACAATCCAACATTTCTTCCGTCGATGAAAGCAGAATAGACCCCTTTCGAAATACGGCTCTCTGTTGGCAGCTGCGAAATGCCTGCACGATGACGGACTAAAACCTCAACGTCACACTGAAAAAAACACAGCCACAAAAAACGGGATGAGCGCAGTGACGTTGTACTTTCGACGCTCTTTCATTGGCTCGTCTACTCGTATAGTGTTGGCCGCGTTCCGACGTTCGCTATCTTATGAAATGACTTGCACGTTTCTCGATGCAGTTGTTCCGCCATTGTGCAGGGGTTCCGACTTTCTAACAATCGGCACGTGACTTTTGAAAGGGGTCTATTAACCCTACTCAAGACGATGTAGTGGTTGCTGGCTCACTCCTAGAAGGCCGACCAGAGCGACGCTTTGTCGCCAATAAAATTTGTCTAAACGTCCTTTAAAAGGAAATCCGTTTGGAAGGCGTATTCGCCAAGTCAACTCATATGTCCCATATCCTTCTGATTACCAACATAATAACTAAACTTCCCACCACACCTTCCACCCAGACGGCAGAGCCACGATGAGCGGCGGATCCCCGATCCCCAGCCCGCGTCACCAGCTCGCATCCAGCATGAATGGCGCCCCGCCGCACCCCAGGGACCGCGTGCTGATGCACCCGAGCCAGATCAGCGTCTCCAAGATGCTCTTCCTCGTCTGTACCGTCTTCATCATCCTCAACCTGCCCAGCTACGTGGTGCGCATCCACGTCTTCGCGCTGTCCATAAGCGACCAGCCCGTGCCGGGCCACGTGTTCCTGCTCCAGCGCTACTTCATGCTGCTCTACTACACCAACTTTGCGGTCAACTTCATCCTTTACAACGTGGGCAGTCGTATCTTCAGGCGCATGATGAAGCAGTACCTCCTGTCCAAGTGGCGCACCATCAGCAGGCTCTGCAGGAGCGACGAGTCCCTGGACTCGTCAGACCTGGGCTCGCTGAAGAACCACCACGATGGTCATCCGCTCAAGAGGCAGCAGCTGGGCGGAAGGACATGATTGTGGGGCAACGGTTGCGGGCCCGCCGGACGCCGTCGCGTCGCGCTTTCGGAACGCGGTCGGTGCCGCGTTCGGCGAGCGTTCTGGAACAAGATTGCGTCCGGATGAGAAGAAGCTGCCTGTTCACCATCGGAGAGTTCAGCAGTGAGACGATGACGCAATGCCACAGTGACCGGCGTCAGTTCGCTGACTTCTCGGCAAGTGTAAGGTTCTTGCTTTCTTTTCTTTCGTATTACTGTAAACTCTAAGAAACAATCCACTCCAGCTGAAGAAAGCTAAATGACACCAGAAACACGCCTCAGAGACTGTCTGCAAGCTGTTTTTTGTATGACGCATTAGCTGTGTGACCTCAGTTTTAGATAGCATAACCGTAGCGCTGGAGAAGACGGCATATATGTATGATTCTTACGTAAGCACTAATCTAATTATGCCCGAGTTAAAATAAACAATATTGATTGATTGATTGCTTGATTGATTGATTGACAAGTTCACGATTTCCTAGCTTCGCTGCCTTGACGGAAACCCACTAATTCAGGTGACGTGCTACGTAAGGCAAAGCTAATTCCCAGATGTAATATTGTGCCTTCCATGGCAGCGGTTGTCCTTCAATGAGTAGTTCCGGTACCACTCTTGCAGACGGAGCTCTCGGCCTGGCAGTTCAGTCCCAGCCACGCCGTCACGTCGTCTTCCGAATCTCCCAAGATTTCTGTGCCCATTCCACCCTCGCAATGAACCTGTGGTGTTCGCTACATGTGCATACCTTTATTTTTGCATGGGTTTACAAGAATTTTATAAGTATGACGTGTAACGAAATAACAGGCGGGTTCAAGATACGTACCTCTCTAAACGCGTATGGTTTACTCTTTGTAGAACTGGTACATGATGTATATATTCCTCTCACTCGTGTCCATATCAATCTTCATCTGGTTCAATGATCATGCGGCAACTAGGTTTTCTGACATCTTTGACACTCTTACACCAGATATGACGAGCTATAAGAGATGTCGCACGTTATGTATGTTCCCGTTCGAGATAATTGACCCCGTCTTTATATACTCATTGACAAGACTAAAAGAACAGGGCCAGCGGCGTAGACTTTACATTTTCCCGGGGGGGGGGTGCTGCGAGTTACCTTTTCGTTAAAACTGGAGATTGAAGCTAACGAAGGCACGCTGGGATTCCATTTCCCATGTATTTTGTCAATAAAGGCCACGTGGGCGTTATTTTGTTTACATGCCGCTACTAGAAGCTCGTTACATGGCACCTAAACAGCGTCTCAATAACGATCTTGGCCCAAACCCGGGGGGGGGGGGGGGGGGGGGGGGGGGGAGGGGCACGAGCCTCGATGCCCCCCCGTAGAAACGCTTGGCCTCCAGCACGCGCTCCATGCCTTCCATCATACTTTGCTCAGCGTGCAGGCTCTCAGCTCACAGGACGCCTAAGCACTGTCGAAGGTAGGGAGCCTGCGCTGAAGGTGGGACAGCTGAAACTCTCACCAGCTGTTCTCAGTATGTCGGTCGCTATGGCACCCAAGGCGGTGGCTTACCATGAACCCCACCCCCGGCCCATTCATTGCCCAGCTGCACCCCCTTGGGCTAGGGTGGTGACCACCATCCTGCCGGCGAAATGCGAGACACCGTGACCGGAGGGAGGGGGGAGGGGGAGTAAGAGGAGGACGGTATACTTTCACGACTGAAGAAAAAAGTATTCAAGAAAATTCATCAACACGCACACCCCGAAATCCTGTGCTCTCCGAAAGCATATTCTACACTTGAAAATTGTCTTACGGCAATTAACTTAAAATAAATTTCGCTCACAGTGATATATTTTTGTTTAATTGTAATGGTAAATAATTTATTAAATGTGTCTAAGTTAAAAACATAAAAATCGGCTGCAGCAGACCCCAATGCATATAAAGGAAATAAGAAACAGTAAATCTTTTCGGCTTATTGTTTCCTGTCGATACTTACTCTTCCACTAACATGCTCCTACACAAAATTAAAACCTTATGTTGTTGGTGTTTCTTTTTTTTTTTTGTTTTTTTTTTGGCGACCGTTGGAAGTTGCAGGCTTTTTGACTTCTGTGGCTGTCTTCACTAAATAAAAAAAGAGCATTCCACAACAACCCTTTTGCATGACACGGCATTATTTGCAAACAATTACAATAGTTTAGTTTTCAACTTTTGCTGAGCAATTCTCGCTTGCAATATTTTGCCACCAAGGGGAAAGGCATAACGGCGCATGCGCGTCAGTCTACTGCAGGAACGACGGCCGCTGCCCGCACTGCTTGGATAGAAAATGGCATATACCACAGATTCACACGCTTATCGCGAGCTCCGCGCTTCCCCGCGCCCCGTTTTTTAGAAGCGCCATTATTTGCGTAGTGAATGTTATGACAACGTGAAATGCAGGACATTTTGAAGTTAGACATGAGGAAGAAACACAGAAAGGGGGGACGGACAACGAAGACTTCCAACTTTCTGTGTTTCTTCCAACGAAGACTTCCCCTTTCTGTGTTTCTGTGCTTCTGTGTTTTTCTGTGTTTCTTCCTCATGTCTAATTACAGTTACCAACACGCTCGTTTTGTACTTAACATTTTGAAGATTTTGGTATTTCTTGCGGGACGCGGGACACGAGTCCTCAATGCGGGACAGTCCCACGAGTTGCGAAGCGGGCGGTCACCCTACCTTGCGCCCCCACTCTTGTGTTGACGCAACCAAGTGGATAGGTATACGTGTATTAGCATAAGGCTGGAGTCATGTGTATACACCAGGGGTGCACAACTAAAAAATTAGGCGGGCCAAAGTTGGTTTATTGAAAACTCTGCGGGCCGCACCTAGTGCGACGTGTTGCACATTTTGGCTGCGGTCAGGCTTTCGATATCATGTGTCATCTCACTCTTTGCCGTCGTCAGCACATCTCGCAATGTCATGTCCGTCATGAAAGATCGAGGGCGGTTCTTTTTGAGAGTCATCAGTGAAAAGGTTTGCTCACAGGCATACGTGCTCCCGAAATGTGACGACAATTTCTAGGCGTGGTCCACCAGGCTTCCGTACTTGTTCTTGTCCAGGCTTTTGTAAAACTCATGCAGCTGAAATTCGAGATGAATAGTCTTCAGCGCCGGTGGACACTGGAGGTCAATAAGCTCCGATGATGCAACCCCTAACTGTCCCAACAAAAAGGGGGAGGGTTGATAGCGTGCGTGGTGAAAGAGTGAAGGGATCTCTTGAGAGAGAGCAACAAGTTTTCGCGTTCCGTGTACAGACATGTTGAGACAGATCCACACCATGGACAGGGACAGCTGCACATGCTGTTTTATTGTTCTCAGTGGGATTAGTGAAGAGGGAAATTTTGAATTGAGAAATCGTAGTTACTTCGCCAAAGACAGAGAAGTAGGTCAGAGCGGCAAGCAGCAGGTTTCACTGCTGCTTGCCAAGCGGAGCGGGCGCTCAATGGATAGAATGGCATAGTAAGCGAATTTCTGTGCTGAGCCGGGCCGTGGGCCGGTAGAAAAGCGTTCACGGGCCGCATGGGGCCCGCGGGCCGTATGTTGTGCACACACGTTTGCAAGTATATGGCCTCAGGGTGCCGCCATCTTCTTCGCCTGGGGTGAGATGGGATGTGCTTGTGCCAAAGAGGTAGAGGGGGCTTATAGAGATGAACTTCTATCCCGTTCACCAGACAAAAGTGATCCGCCACTGGCTGCCGCCACGTGACCGTACCAAATCCTGAGGCTTTTACGCAAAACTGAGCCGATATTTGTATTGTGACGGCTGTAAAAAACATGATAAACTATTTTTCAATACTGTTAGCCCCAAAGATCAGTGTCTAGCTCCGCCAAAAACCCAAAATACCGCACCGCACCTTACGGCATCTAGCGGAGCCATCGTGACTTAAGTTGGACTTAAAACAAACAAAACATAACTTATCTCGTTGATACTGTTATTAAAGATCAATAAGCAATTATCAGCGCGCGGTACATTGTTAAAATCTAGACGTAAAGCTATAAGGTCATGTGTCTAGTGGTCAAAAATGTGCAGCATGGCGGCTGCCAGGTGGGGGTTACTTTCACCCGCCAGTTTATCGCTCTAGAGCTGTGTATAGAGAGGTAGAGTTTGGTCAATGGGAGGCGCGGGCAGAGCCAGGGCGTGCACCAGACGCAAAAAGTGGGCTTGACATGCTCTCTTGGCCAACCAGAAGCCTAAAAGAATCCCCTAGCGGTGGTAGCAAGGAACTGTTTTAATCAAAGGCATATGTTGATATATGGTTTTAATAAGCACGTAAGAGTGAAGTGTAGTAACCCTTTATGGTTGAAAATAGGGTGCACGTGATCTTTCGACCATGATCATGTAGAAAGTTCTAAGAAACAAATATGTCGCTCAACTCTGTTTTGCTCGGACAGTGCGTGACTGCTCGGACGGCAGATTCTTGGCCCCCGGAGCTTGTCAGACGGATTATGTCGATCGTTCCGCTAGTCACGCTCTTCCACCATAAATTTGGAGGACCATGATTGAAACATCACGTGCACCGTATTTTCAGTCAGCGAGAGTAGCGAGAGTTACTCCGACGCACTTATTAAGTTTGTTTCTCGCGACTACCGCCAGGGTATTATTTCCGGCTTCTGTTTGGCCACATCCGAATATGTGGAACACGCCCAGCCCGCTTTCAGCCAATGGCGCCTCCTCATTCGTCGCCTATACTTCCCAACGAATCGCCAAACTCTTTACTTATACAGCTCTGTATCGCTCTAAGCCCCTCTACCTCGTTGATACTAATATATGTCTATACACAGCTGACACACGGATGGTCAGATCACTCATCCACATTTTCGCATCGTTAGCCTCCCGCCTGCTTTACGAGTGTTAATTTAGCGCACCCCTGTGCTTCCAATGTGCTTCAGGTCTTTCTCAAATTTACTGACCTGGTAGTTTTTAATGACTGTGAGCAAGTTTCTAATTAGTCATATTTTAACTCGTGTGAGAAGGAGGGAATATTGTGTTTCCCTGGTATAGCTCACCTGCACAAATAGCATTGGTGTAGCTTTCACGGCTTTTTTTATGGCTTCATGGTTTTAAACTTTATGTAATGCTGAACTTAACACCAACCTAACTTTCCGACGTCACGCCACTGCGGTGGTGCTGCTGTCGGCACTGCGCACGCGCAGACGCTAAATCTGGTGTGGGCAAACGCGAACTTGTTTGCTAACAGCGTGTTAGTGTATAGGGTGTTTTCACTGACGTAATTTTGTCCTCCATTTTGTTGTTGTGAGCTGTTTGGCGTGTGACTTAGATGACCCTTGAATGTTTAAAGCACAGAATTTTATAAGTCCTACCATGCTGACATCTCCTTAACAGGTTGCGATGTAATCCTTCATATTAATAAATTTGGTTGAAAAAACAAACTAACAACAAAATGGCGAATTGACGTCATGTGAAAACTCCCTATACTTTATATATGGCTTTAGAATTCACGTAGCGCTGAAACGTGTAACAGATGAACGTGTCAATTTTTTTCATGAAATTTATCTGAAAAAAGTGCATTCTCCGTTAAAACATTAATCTCTATGAATTCAGTCCCAAAATGACGATAAATTAATCTGTGTTTTGGGCTGCTCTTTTTCTTTCTTTCTTTCGCGCGTAAGACATACATGACCACTCAACATACTGCATACCCAAGCATGTGAGAAGCAACTCTACGGTTTAACTCGTACTACTGTCATTCCGTCCGTCGGCAACAATATATATACCTCACTCAACTTTTGCTATTTTCATGTCTATCTGCTGTTCGATCGCGAGTTGTACGGTGCAGTGATGTGATTGGCCTAAGCCATTTTGGCGTACGTTCCGGAGCAACCAAAACAGTGTTTTGGAGCAGCAAATGTGGCCTTTGGAGCAACCAAAACAGTGTTTTGGAGCAGCAAAAGCGGCTTTTGGAGCAGCCAAGACAGTGTTTAAGCAGAAGAAATGGATTTTGGAGCAGATATTCTTAGGAAAATAAAAATATTTGTTTTAAGTGCTGTAGAAACGAAGGGCACTTTGTGTTGTGTTGTGTTCTGATGTGGCGTGTTGTGACG